ATGAAATCCAGACTGATCAGCATCGATTAAAATTTTTTGAAAAGAAAACAACCTATAATGGATCAAAATTTTTTAAATACGTACCAAGTTATATTAAAAATAACAACAATTTAAATTCATTCAAACGTGCATTAAAAAGTTTCTTGACTGAAAGGGCTATTTACTCACTAGAGAATTTTTATAGAGGTGCTGGTTAGTTAATTTAATTTAATTTAGCCCATTTAGTGCTGATGTTTAAAACCATTGTCTGTGACTTAAGTTCTGTTCGATATTTTAAGAATTTGTACTATTAATTTTATTTGATTACATTTTTAATTTTAGGGCCAATGTTACAAATATTTTAAATGTAATATAGTTCATTGACACTATTCAATGTACCAAGCATGTACAGATTTCGAATAAAGATATTTTGATTTGATTTGATTTATCCCATAAAACCCCCCATAAACACCTGTTCCCATGGTCCGATTATGCTGGATCGTGAACTCGTTAGAATAAACTTAGGTTTACAGGTTTGTACCAAATTTCATCAAAATCGGATCATTTTTGCTCGAGTTATCGTGCTAACGGACATATATATATTAGCAGAGTACCTGTTCTTCGTACGGAGTAGGCATATAAGTTGGTAAAATGCTTATTGCAGTTATACTCAAGCTTTGCGTTTGCAATTGGGGAGGACAGATTTAGATTAAATTTGCTTCTTTAAATTTACAGTAAACTATGGTATTACACATCTACCATAGCCATAATGTTCTACCACTTCACCTAAACGATAAAAAATTATAAAAAGTTCTCAACAAATCATAAATTATTAATGACATTAAAAACATAAACATAACTGTAAACAATCCTACTTTGACAGTTCTCATTGCGTATCACAGTTTTTTGTTGCTGCTTAGTTCAAATTAGCTGTGTACATAAATGCAAAAAAAAGTTATAGTGCTGCACCCTGTTGGTAAATCTTATAACTTTTTAATGCATTTGCATATCATAGAATCAACTTTTTAGTTGAAACAGCTGACTAAATTTTTAATTCCCTTTAAATATGAATACTCGTAAGGTTAACATGGGGAACTACAGAGCCACTGGGGCGGAGCCCAAAAGGATTTTTGAGAAAAAAATATGTTTATATGATAATCGGGAATGTGAGTTATCATCATGCCAAATTTCAGCCCAATCCGTCCAGTGGTTTATGCGTGATTGAACTTCAAACAAACAAACACACAAACTTTCACATTTATAATATTAGTAAGATATATGAATTTGAACGGATGGTGTTTTTGGCCTAAAAATGAAAAATTAAATCGGTCCCGGGTCCAGGTCTTACCATGAGTACTATGGTAATAGCTTATTCCCTATATGGGAAATTCGCTAAAAGAGATGTTTATATGAAGAAGATGAAACACATGATTGATGCACAAAAAATGAACATTATGAATAATAACTGAAGAAATAACGAGAATTAGCAAAAAATATCAAGAAAAACTCGAAACCCACCAGAACAATTTAGCCGTTAACTTGCTGGACAATAGTGAATTTCCCAACAGACTAAAAATTTTGAAAGTTCTTGAACTCCCATACCGATTTGCATAGTTTTAGTTACATGATATGACTATTTATTTTTCCAAGATCTTTCACTGGGGAGATTCTTGGTCAAGTCATTTACTTATATTATGCCTTTTACTAATTGTTCACAGTTGTACTGAACAGATTGTAAAATAAAATAAAGTTAAAAAAAAGAATAATAACAACATAACAGAAGTAATAATACCGGAATAAAAAATCTAACTGAAATTGATTTTGATGACAATTTGAGAAAAATAACTTCCCTAAACACTATTTTTAAGCGTTTAGGAAGTGAAATCTGGTGTTAATACTTAATACATTTTATGCTATTTTGTTGCAACTTTTTGCTTTAATTGCAGGTGGACTAGTTTTTTTATTACATTTATTTTTAAAGTACTTAGGCTAGGCTTTTCGTTATGTGATAACATTTAACGTTATGTTTCTCTATCCTTTAACACTGAATATTTTTATTAATATGTTTACGCCACACAACACTATTTTGATTAACTTCCCACGCAAGGATTTAGTCCAGAAAACAGCTGTTTGCCGCCAGCTTAATCAAATGGGGTTTCGTTGCGTACTACTGTACTGTAATGAGTTTTACCGGTCACCAATCAGCTGATTATACACTGTATTTGCGTGGCAATGAGTGTTTATAAACAAAAACATAACCTCTCTTAGAGATTACGGCTAGTGATTTTTAGTCCTTTAGTTGGTGGTCATATATAAAGATTTGTAAAGATTTAGTAGTATGGCGTAAACTATTGTACGTAACGTAACTCGTCCAAAATGTGTGTACCGGACTCATATGGTAATCCCGTACTCGACCTCGTCTCGCACGGGAACGACCACACTCGTCCGGTAAACACTTATTTTCAGGGCTAGTAACGTAATATACTATAACGTGACTTGGCCTATTTAAAAAAATTTATTTCAAAGGCGAGTAATAAAATCACTTAACTTCGTTGTTCCATTGCCACTCCAGCTAACGCCATCAAATTGTTCTTCTCGGGGCGAAAACCCCGATCAGTTTACTTCACAGACACTCATAACACTCATGAGACAACGCGGAATACGAAAATCATAAAAACACACTGGTACAATAAATAACACCAGACGACAGATCAAGCGTAGTGTGGGTGACGGGGTTGAGGTAGAGGAGGAGGGTGTCGATCACAGATCAAAGAATAATAATTATTTAATTATTATTTAATATAATTATTTAATTATATTATATTAATAATTATTATTCTTTGCTCTGTGGTGTCGATGGGCGGTTGAACGAGGAACGTCCGGTGACTCACGTCTGTTTGGTGCGCAAATATCCCACCCCACCGGCTACCGGAATGTAGTTTATCTGTTTCCATTTATTCATCGATATTGAAAGTATACGTACAAACAAACAAGCTTAGTACAATAGGCATGACATTTGATTAACTATTTTATTGCTCACGTTAAAACGATTTATTTCAGTTAGGTGTAAAAGGTGAAGTGGTGGCGGAAGGGGGAGGGACGGATAGGCTGTTGACCTTCCGTGACTTGTGTCTGTACTCTGTTTCGCGCGCAAAAACCGTACTACTTTCACTGGCATTGCAGTTTATTTACGATTTATTGATATTGAAAGTATACTTACGAAAAACAAGCTTAATACAATAGAAGTAAAATTAAAAAGATTCACTATTTCATTGCATACGTTAAAACATTATTTTTTTATGTTATTACAACTTTTTTACCCATTATAGGTTGAAGGGGGGGATATATCCCCCTGACCCCCCCCCCCCCCCGTATCTACGCCACTGCTGCACAGGCCTTACTATTGGTAAATACTCGTATTAAACATAAGCTTGAGAGCTGAAACTGTATTTTAAAGTCAACTAGCTCATAGACTAATATTATTCAATCTTCAAAACAAATTTAAACGGGTTTCAGATTTCCCGGCTAATGTTGAATATGAGTATTTACCAATACTAAGGTCGCTGCAGGTATATTCCGCAAGAACTTTGGACAGCCGACATTTTGTAACGGATGAACCTTTTTTGATGCGGTTTCCAGCAATGAACTCCACTTGTCCAGACCTTTAAAATGATGTGCATATCAACCTATGCTTACATTAAAGATTATGTACCTACTCCTCATGGGTCGTCCCCTGGTAGAGGTAAAAAATGATAATTCTTGGAAAAAGTAGTTTTTATACATACAAGTTTATGTGAAAAATTTGGATTTTCTAACGAATTTTGTTAAAAAGATATCAAGCCGTTTCCAGACTTTTTTGTCACCCTGTATATATACATATATATATTTATATAGGATTTATAAATACTCATACACCTATTTAGACTGTTGACCAACCTTTTAGTATGCCTATTGTAAAGGTGAAGATTAGTAAAGAATGAGATGATACCCTTACTTTTGAGCAAGATCAGCAAGTTACAGCTCGTGACATCTAAGCTGGCACTTGGCCTAGCGCAGGCAGTGTTGGCAGGAGGAGGGTGGAGGTAGGGAAAAGACCGGACTGCAATCATTTCCGCTGCCTCACGGTATTGATTCCCCATGTATTATGTACTTGAGCCCCTTCATATGAGTCGCGAGGACAGTTGATGCATCCCGCATGACGTGACATAATGTTTTTGAACTAGCTACTAGTAGCGATCGGCCAAGTGCCAGCTTAGATGTCACGAGCTGTACAGGGGGGTACCCTGGGGGGGGGGGCATAATAAGGAGTCCAGGCCCTCTCCAGACTTAGAAAACATTCATTTTATTTAGGACCCCCTAAAAGAATATTATCCCCCACCAGTCATTTGGTCCCCCCCCAAACTCTATTCCTGGGTGCGCCTCTGGCAAGTTCTTTGGCGAGGATAACTATTTTATTGCTAACCCCAATGGATAAGATTAGCTGGGTCCAGTTTTGAACCATAACAAATCATTAACTTTTCTTGGGATATAACCACCAGCAAACTTGTAATTGTTGGGAAAGCTCTATAACTTAACGTAGATATAGCTATACAGATAAAAATTTCATAGCGATACCACAGAGAAGTAAGATATACAGAGGAAACATGTTTATGGAACAACCGTGCGCTTTTAGCTCAGGAATGGCGGGGCGGAAATATTCTAGTACTGATCCAGGAAGATCCGGAATGGCTATTGTTTACAAGAGCAATTGTAGCGCACAGGCACTTCCTACAGCGTGAGCGCTTTAGTATATTATGGGGGGGGGGGGAGAGAAAGCGGAAGGGGACAACCAATAGAATTTGAACTAGACATAGGACACTCGACTGGTGCTAGACACTACTTAAGTGTATCATTGAATGTAGGCTATCCTCTGTATCTTGTTTCTCTGTGGCGATACTTTCCACTCTCCCTATGTTTTGTAGCTCCCATATCTGAAAAAAATAAAATACCATACCTAAAGGGCTAAAAAATCAAAAGTCAAGTTTAAAATAAAAATTGGTTTTTATAGCTTCAGTTATAAAATTAATGATTCAGAACTTAGTTGGCCACCATTTGTCAGTTACAAATGTGATCGGAATCTTCCTGAAAGTTCTCTCCACCAGCTTGGTCTCTGCATACTTCCTGGATATTGCAGGAAAGCCTGTTGTAGGTTTTTATAAACCTAGAATACAAACATTCATAATTTTTAATTTAGTAAAATAGAGTAACAAATTTATTAAAACGTTACAACAATTAACTATAGAGTAAAACACCTTTTAACTACATCCTGTCATACTAAAACCCGAGTTAACCAAAACCATAATACAAAATTTAAATCAATTTAAAATTTAGCTAGGCATTGGGAATTAAATAGTCAATTGTTTACAAAAATATGCAGTTGTATCTTGATAGTTCGTTAGGAGCCAGATGTCAGATCACTGAAAATTTTGAATTATCCAAACATTTTATGTATTTTTGATCACGGAAATTCATTGCTATATTTTTCAAATAGAGGGCTGAATAAAATTATCGGGTCCGCGGAATTGGCTAACTCTGAAACATGCTAACCCCATGTTAAACGCCCTATCTTCAAATTTGGTCAATGAGAGGAACTCGCTAACTTGTTCGGTTTCGGAATTGGCTAACTCCGGAACCCGCTAACCCAATCTAGAGCTGGGTTAGCGAATTCCGTCCTTGTACGGAAGTCGCTAATTTGGTCCCTCAGCGGAACTTGCTAACTCCCAATCAGAAGCCTCGCGCGCGGTCCAATGGGAGCCAAGCACGAAGATTGTTGGCCAGTGTTGCCGAAAGTGTAGTACCTACGATCGTATCGGTACAATAATGTCGTATTGTACGAATAATTAGGAGTACAAGCAATGTAGTCGATAAAATAAATATATATTCACAAGTAAACTTTAGATCTTTATCCATTGTAATTTTTGAAGCTCGTTTTTTGTGTCTAGTTCATGTCCGTTGACACTGATCGCTAGTGTCGACGAAATTGTGTTTCTATTATTTTATGGTTAACTTCATGATTTGTTCTCTTCTGTTTATGTTTACATGTTATTAGTTATGATTAGAACGTTTTATTTGTTTAAACGAGGTTTTAAATTACTGAAAACAAGAAACAAATTGTAAACAAAACACGACCTCTACAGCCAGTACACTGTACAGAGCTAACAATAAAATTGTCTTCAGCTAATCCTTAAGGATGAGAAATCTATATAAATAAAATTAGAGTTTTGTCTGTACATTGCTCAGAATCATAAAGTTTTAGGTTATTTTTACGTTTTATACATTAAAGAAGCTGAAACAAGTCTCATCTAAATTTCTGTCTGTCTGTCTTTCTGTAACACTCAAGACGGCATTTTACGCAATCTTCTCCAGGAAAACGAGAGTACCTATCACGATCCAAGTCATTTTGATGTATTCACTGGATTGGCGAGAGTGTCTTTAGCCATTAAAATATGGCCTCACTACTTTGTAAATAAAATTACGGACGTTCAAATATGCAGTTTTGTGCGATTTTTGTCAAGTTTAGTCCAATTTTTATCACATAAATCATCTATGAAATAACGAACAGCTGTTCGGATCGAGATTATTTTTTCTAGCTGTCACTGATATGTTTACAAATGTTGTTTACAAATACCACAACCATTTCCGATCACATTTTGAAGGCAAATCCTAACCAAGTAAGATTAAAAACGTTTTTCTTACATAACGGATTTAATTAATCGCAAGTGCAATAATATAGTGTAACCGTAAATGATATTAAATAACTAGGCGTCATCCAGGTCAGGAACCAGATACTCTTTGTGTATAAAATTGTTCTTGAGGTTAGATAACCAGAAAGAAGACCTTGAATCAGTGTTGTATAGGGCTGGAAAACTTAAATTTATTAATGATCGTCGCCAATAGCTTACAAACAAGGTTTCCACTCATTGACGGCGCTTCGATGGCGGTTGTGTAAAGTGTAAAGTAAACAACTGCAGTGGGTGATTAACAGAGGTTTACGGTTTATGGATGATGCTAAACTCGCTTCCAATGTGTCACTTTCTGTTCCTACTCACCGTGTGATGCAATCGCTGGACCATACAGCCAATAGGCCCATAACCCATCTCTTGGGTACTTACGCCTACCCAATTATTCATAACAACCTTTTTGACGACGATCCTTGATACCGGTACTTTTCCCTAGAATACACGGCCTCCCTACTTAAGAAATAAAACTACAAACGTCCAAAAACTCAGCATTGTGTGATTTTTGTCACATTTCTTTCTGATGTTAATAGATATACCAATCATTGTTTAGAGAATACGTAATCTATTAATTAACAAAAAGTTGTTAGTATAAGGTTGTTTTTTTTTTACTGACACCAATAAGTTTAGGCCCAAATTAAAAGTTGTTTATGAATAAAGCAATTAATGGGAAATAACTTTGATTGCACATAACTTTTTACGAGAAAATTCAATACCAAGAAATCACTAACCTTGGGACTTGATTAACGCATTTAATTGGTCGAATGTACTTTAGTTGCTAACTGTAAACGTTGGTTTTTGGTACTGGTTCTTTTCCTTAGAACCATTGGTAGCAGCAAGAATAATTTTTACGTACCAACACATCACTGTAATTTACAAATTAGTTATCGTTGGTATTGCACCTTATTTATACAGTCCTATTCAGTTTAATTGATGTCTTAACTGTATAAGTTTTGCTTTTTCTGTCTGGATTCCAAAATGTTAGTTTATGCTAAGAAAATGATAACTCATTTAAGTAAAACATTTGTTTAGCAAACCATCGTGAATTGTTTACGATTTACGTTGTTATGTTTTAATAGTTCATTGCCTATTTTGGTACCTAATTTGTATCATAAATTACCAATCTAAATCGTCTATAGTACTTAATTTCATATAGTAAGCATTCATTTCGACAGCATTTCGCGTCATCTTCGGTCCAAGCAAATATAAATTGTTATGATAAAATTTGGTGACATTGACAAAGATTTCAAATATTAATTTTATATGTACTTGTTATGTTTAAAAAGTAACAAATTCCCTAATTAAGTTCTGTATTTTTGTGTGTATGTTTGTAACGCATTAATGTCCTTATTTCTTAGTGTCACGAAAAGGACAATTTGAGCACCTTTGATAATGAAAATGTCAACCCGAATGAAGTGTTAAATGGTGAGGTTGAGGTAGTACTTTAAATACTTTTAACCATTGTGGAAAGTAACTTTCAACTATAGGCCTACCTTAGGGCTATGACTCATAGATCTATTTGCCTATAAAGCCTTTTTAGTTTAATCATTGGATTTAACATATGGACTAACATATGGGGTGACATGACATTTAATTGCGAAGCGTTTGTTTTGGCTTGAAACTGTCAGATACTGTATTTGCGAAGGTGTATATATAATAGTTTCGCCAGCATATCTGAAAATATGCAAACCAACTGCTGTTCTTAATATAAGAAGGTTTCAACCCCGTGCGTAGAACGGGCACACAGCTAGTGTACTAATATAAGGGAGTATGTTTTATCTATGGTCTTCTTACTTAAATAGTAGTTTATTGGGATGCAAAAAGATAGTACTGCACATTTAATTTGGATCTTTTACAGGTTATGAATGATCTATTTTCGTTGTCGGTCATTTGTTTCTTTTATTCAAATTAATACCACTTTGTGAACTTCTGCAAATAAAATGATTAAGTTTGTATTTGTATACTGGACCTGTAACCTTGAATGCTTGTCCTTAATAGGTTATAATATTTGATTCTTTAAAGGCCTATTACATCTGTCGTGCGAGTGTTATTAATAGTTTTTTCTTCTTAATATTTCTGTATTATTACCAAAATGATTCTGAATCATAGTATTAGTAAACAAATAAAAAAAATTAAATATTTTTGTTTAGCAGGCACATGATTTACCTAGGTACATTAATTAATAACGCAAATCTAAAACGTTAACAATGTATTACAATATTGCATCTTTACTTTAGCCAAGAAAAGGAATTTAAATGTTCTTACATTATGTTGTTAGGAAACATATAATATATTAACAAAAATTAAAGCAGTATTGTAATAGTCTATCCTACAAATGTTTAATTGGTACTACTGCATGTTTAATATTTTTCATATTCTATTATTTTCCTATAATACTGGCATTTATATTTAAGTTTGAAATTATAAATATTTAATTGGCCGTTATACAATTAAATCAAAAATCACTTTTTAATGATTTTTTTCATTGCCTTTTAATTATTTTGGACTAGGTAGCTGTTAAAAGTGGAATTGATAACAAAATGAATAACACTTGTATTTTTATTGATACCGACATTTTGAAATACGGTAGTGTACGATTATTTCGTCGTACAAAGTTGGCAACGCTCCGTGCTTTCAATTCCGCCGTGGGACAAAATCGAGTTAGCAGATTCTGGAGTTAGCCAGTTCCAACACACGACCGAGTTAGCGAGTTCCAGAGCTAGCCAATTGCTACGTCTCAGCTTATCAAGTATCTATATATTAAAAATTATTGGTTATTCTTTTCCGTGTCGGTTTGGCTCTTCTACCCGAATTTCATAATGTTGGTCTTAAATTGGTATAACCGCACAGATTTGCGCTCAAGCATCTGCATTCATTTATCTCACGTATATTTCGAGTTATGCACACAAGCAACTTCCTCCCTGTACATTTCTTATGGGAGTTAAATTTTGTTTTTCCTTTTCCAAGTTCATTTGGCTTTTCTACCCGATCAATTGTCATAATCTTAGTGTTTAATTAAAGGTGTGCAAGAACAGATTTGCCATCAAGCATCATCATTCACTATTTCTCGGATATGGAATTTAACTTTAGATATATTTAAAAAATTCTAATTACGATATCCTACATGTTTTGATCTAAGAACCTTCAGTGAAAACTAGCTTTTATTTGAGTTATTGATTATTAAAATCACACGTACCTAAAGTACGCTGTTGAATCACGAACAACCCAAATTGTTCAAAAATGGATTTATTTATCATCGATTGATAGTTAAATGATTTTGCTTGAAACCTCGACAGTAACCGTCGATTTCGGATACAAAATATATTCAAAATATGGATACGGCTCATAAGGGCAACGTGCCCTTCTGCACTTGTATTATTTTGTATTGTATTACACAATCAAAATCTTTTCCAATAACATAAAA